GGGGGGGGGAAGCTGGTTGGCTGGCAGCATGCTGAAAGGATGCGAGATGAAGGGGGAAAGAGAGGGAGAGGAGAGGGGGACTGCCAGGGAGAGGAACGAAAGGGAGAGAAGGCTGAGGCCGTGAGGGATGCCTGCCTGCCTAGGCCTCCGAAGGCCTACAGCAGCACAGGGTGGGGCTCGCGGCTGGGGCCTGGGGGAAGGTTGGGCCGGGCTGCGAGAGTCCCGTGACGTGAGCGTCTGTGCGGCGGGCATCCACTCCCGACCAACTTCTCGCCCCTCACAACTCTATGCTAATTAAAAAGTTCCGACTCGCGAATTGCAGTAACAACCTGCTGCTGACTGCTTTATGCGAGTCCGACCAAAAACGCCTCCCGGCGGCGGCGGACGCGACCGCAGCCCGCCCCACGCACGCCCAGAGCCTCGGCCCGACAGCCTGCGTCGCACGTCACGTTACCCGTTATCAAAACTCACGAAACGAAAATTGAAATTGCAAATTTGAAAGCGTTATTGAAGCGCTTTTAGATGTATGACAGCTTTTTGTAGGAGAAGCACCCTGGAAAGTTTTCAAAACATGCATGTAAATTGCAATTGTAATTTTCGATTTTGCATGTTTTCCGGCGTTTTATTACAAGTTACGTAACGACAGCTGCCTGGCCGCCCCATCCGGACCCGCCCCGCCCAGCTCAGTTCAGCCGTCGTCGCCGCCCGCCCGCCTCTGCAGCTCCAGGGTAGGCCTCGCGCTCCACTCGGCTGTTGGGCGCGTTGCCTACCTTGGTCTGCAAGGCGCTCGCCTAGCCCGGCGAGCCTGCCGCGTGCCTAGCCTCTGGCTCTGGCGAGAGAGACACCCCCCCCCCTCTCCTCCTCTTCCCACTGGCCTGGCGACGCCTGCAAGGTGGATCGGCTGCTAGCCTTGTGATGTGTGGCTGTGCTGTGGGCTGTGGCCCGGCCTGCGTCACGCTTACCAAATAATGTGTGATAGACCTTTACCTATCCCAACACTAGCCTGTGCGACGCGCGCGCGCGGCGGCCCCGCGCGAGTCGCGCCCAGAGCCCCTCTCCCAATTGGCGACCTTGGCTTGGAGCGACGCGTCGGGCCCGCGGCTGGCAGGGAGGCTTTGATAGGGATCGCTCATCTCTCTCACGGCGGCGCGAGCGCGACCGTCATGAGACAGCAGCAGCGCCGCGCAGCACCGAGTGCGCTGTGTGCCGCGGTGTGCTGCCCGCTGCCCGCTGCGCGCGCCGCGCCCTCCCGGCCCGGGGGAATAGATGGAAAGAGGAAAAGCGATAAGAGTTGGTGATCTAACGCTGCTCCGACGCCCTTCCGCGCCGCCCAAGGCCCGTGTGAGGTGGTCACGGGGCGTCTCTTGCTCTCAGCTCTCGGCGAGAGGCCCCGGGGCGCTCAACGCGGAGCTCGCCGTCGACACGCATGTGGCATGGCTGGCCGGGCCCAGGGCCCCCGGGCCCCCGCCGCGCCCTGGTGGTCTGGTCTGTCCCACGGCGGCCGCGGCTCGGGGCTCCATCGGGGCTCCGCCGCGCGCCCGCGCCACCCTGCTGAGAGCAGGGAGGGGGCGAGCGAGAACAACCCCTCCCTGGAGTATGGCAGAGTGGTGGCGGAGGCGCCAGCATGATGCAAGAAGGTCTGCCCCTGATGCACACACGACGGGTGTAGACAGAGACGATCGTAGTGATATCACCGACTGTTTCGGCGTTCAGTACGGCTGTGCATCCTTCCGTGGGACACACAAAATATCGTCCCTACATACTCGTGGTTGGTCACGCCGCACTGAATTAGTTATAAAGATCCCTGATGAGACTTTGGCCGCTTTATTCACGTAGATGTGCCCACCATATGTCATCTATTCTATCAAGTGCCATTATTACTGACATTTTAAAAATAGCAATCCTTCATATTTCCTTTGCAGGTGCAGATGATGAATGGAGATACGTCAGTCCTGGCGCCACACATTAAGAAAGAAGTTGAACAGAACACGTTCCAAGCTTGTAGTCCATCTAACAGTGAAATGTACTCACCCACAACCACAGTACTACCGCAAGATGTAAGTAGAGTTTGGCTTTGCAATTTTTATGTAATTACACTAGTGTGCCAACAGCGCTGTATCGGTGGGTTCTTTACTTATTTGTTTTTCCTTGTATGATATTTTGACGAACGAGAATATTTAAGATTTTTTCATCTCCTTGCCGTAAAATTCCCTATTTAAAAAATGCTCTTACATTCTCGCTTGCTTGTAAAAGGGCATCTCTCAAGTCGCTTGTTCATTACTTTTCCTCTTCTGCCGCGGCTGCTTGGAGTGTTGGGCTATATAGTGGTCGGGCACGCGAAATTTGTAAAGCTTGCTAGGCCAGACAAAAAACAGTTCGTTTTTCCTTTGCAGGGTGACTGGAATTTCGCGACTGTTTTTTTTTACACTAAGATTTTGTTCTCGTGCTTGTATTTCCAAATAATGGTTCTTGGTCTTCCCTGGCCGTATGTCTCTCACATGCACTGCTAGCCAAGCAAGTCTCCCCATCTATTCCTGTGGTTTTTTCAGCTGCTTTTTAGTACCCGAGGCCTCGTTAATGATATGTTTACTTTCTGATACATTTTAAATCCAAAACGGCTTAATCATGTCGAAAATGAAGCGTCCCTACGATCCTATCAAAGTTGAAATCAAGGTGATGGAAACCGACCGTGGTGTAATGTCTGCTATTTTCTGCTACCGAACAAATTTCTGAGTTATAAATGTCGGGTGTCGTCTGCTAGGTATAAAATAACTATAGTTCTTGTTTAATATCTTTCTTTTCAAAAACATTTGTTTCTCATCTATTCTATTTTTAATTCAATTATTAAAGCTGCTCAGCAAATATTTTCGGGTTTATCAGCACCTATTGATAGGGCTTTGAGGTTATGTGAAACAATTTAGCAGTTAGATCATCTTACTGTGTGATGATTTTGTAAAATATACTGATTCACAACGTTAGTCTTTTGTGTCTCATGTTTTTCAAGTAGCTATCCAGCTATGACATGTTTCGTTTCTACTTATCTTGATTATTGGATTGGTTGGTAACGAAAACTATGCCCCAGCTTCTTCTTAGTTTTATGAGAAAGATATATGTTAATTTCTTTGGGATTTATTCTCAGTTTTAGTCATTCATTCATACCCATTATTCAAAACCATTCATATCATATTCTCTTTCCCAAATTTCCTCAAATAAAAGTTTATAACCCCCTCTACGTTTTTCTGAAGTATTGAGAAAATTGTACTTCCATATTTTTGTTAAACATCATTCCTGAAAACGGTGACATTTTTCAAGTCATTCTTCATCCCAAACATTTAATATAATTTAAATCAATTTTTTCTCCTTATTTACACAGATGGAGTATTGTGAAAGCCAAGAGTCACAAAGGTATGAAGTCTCCCAATCTCACTCACCTGGAAGCCCTGATCAGCAGTTTTGTTCTTCTACAACACAGTCTATTGGTGATGCCATGATGGGTCATATTGAGGTAAGCTTGTTGATTCTTGCTCTGTTTTGATTGTTACTTGAGAAAGATTCAAACAATTACTGTTATTGAAATATGCAGGAGGGAATGAAGGAAGAGGATGTTCCAAGACGACTCTGTCTTGTATGTGGTGATGTTGCTTCAGGATTTCACTATGGTGTAGCATCATGTGAGGCATGCAAAGCATTTTTTAAGAGGACAATTCAAGGTATAATGAAATATTTTAATAACAGACTATGGTCTTCTTCAACATAATCTGAAAATATAGTATGTTTTTATTTTCATGATTTCAAACTTTCTCTCCCGCTTAAGGAAACATTGAGTACACTTGCCCTGCATCAAACGACTGTGAGATCAACAAAAGGCGCCGCAAAGCCTGTCAAGCCTGCCGCTTCCAGAAATGTCTGCGAATGGGTATGTTGAAGGAAGGTGTTCGCCTTGACCGTGTTCGTGGAGGGCGTCAGAAGTATCGACGCAATCTTGACATACCCTATCAAGTGCCAGCTCATGTGCCTGCAAAGCCAACTCCCACCTTACAAGGTTGGTTTGTTTCTTTTCCGTTAGGGTTTTTAAAAAATTAAGATTGCTTATTATTATTATTAATACAATCATGTCTAATTGATTTTATTTACTTTACGTCAGATAACAAAATGCTTGAAGCACTAGCAGCATGTGAACCTGATCCGCTTGTTGTCTCTCCTGAACCTCGGCAATCTGGTATCAGCCCAGAAACTCGAACTTTGAGTATGCTCAGTGACTTGTATGATCGTGAACTGGTGAACATAATCAGCTGGGCTAAGCTGATTCCAGGTAAATATCCTACCTATATCCTCATTAAAAATTCAAAACAATGTGCAACTATGCATGCATGTTTATGAAAATTGGTGGAAATTCTTCTTGCATTTAGTTGATTTTTTTCTTCTGCTTCTCTTTTGATTACAGGGTTTTTGGAGTTGCCTCTAAATGACCAAATGAGGCTGTTGCAAAGTACATGGGCTGAAATTTTGACCCTTACTTTGTCCTTTCGATCATTGCCAAGCACAGGAACACTTCGATTCGCTGATGACTTCACCCTTGATGAAAAGCAAGCAAGGGACTGTGGTGCACTTGAGCTGTATCAGCAGGTAAACATAACATTTTTTTATTTTGCATTCTTCCTTAACTTGCTAAAACTTTTCAGAATCTATTAAGGTGTTGTTTTTGTTCCAATTTTTACAGTGTACACAAATTGTGGAGCGCTTGGAAAGGCTATCTATTGCCAAAGAGGAATATTTCTTGCTTAAAGCTCTGGTTTTAGCCAACTCAGATGTCCGTCTTGACCAATTTCATGTTTTGAAAAAGTTCAGAGATTCAATTCTGTCAGCACTTGAAAACTGTGTGTTGGTAGTAAGGTAAGGGTCATGTTTTTATTCACTAAAAATGTTCCTGAAGCTCCTTTATTTTAATACTGACTCCTCTGCTTTTCTTTATTTCCACAGACCAAATAACTCCACATACCATTTGCAGCATTTGCTGCTTTGTCTACCTTGTCTTCGACAGGCAGACACTGCTGTCCGTCGGTATTGGAGTGGTGTTCATAGAGAAAACAAGGTCCCCATGAATAAGCTGTTTGTTGAAATGCTGGAAGCATGTGTACGGTAACTTGTTTGAGTCCCCATTGATATGTTTAATCACCTCAAGTGTAATTGGCCTAGTACTTAGTGTACTGCTATTACTATGCATATAGTTTCCTAAAGCAATTTGGATGGCAGCTATTTCTGCAATAATATTGATAGATTTCTGCTGTTTTAGTAACATTGTTATATCTTAATTTCACAAAAGATATTTCTTAGTTGCTAGTTTTACTGCAAATCTGTTGGGGTTGCCACCTGTGTATTGTGGTTAAACGGAATTTTGGCCTTAGTGTAATTCTGAAATCAAAGTGGCACTCATGGTAAAGAACAAGCTGCAACCACTAGCTAGCACTAACCTTCTACCTGTAGCGCATACTAACTTAATGTGATACTGCTTCTAGCTCTAGATACTAGAAATTGAGATCTTGTTTGTCAAATGAACTATGTGAAGGAACAATAGGATAAGCTGACCTTGTCAGTGCAGCTTTGCCTGTAGTTTGGTCTCAGGGAAGGAGGCATCACTGTGTTAATTGTCATTTGCCATCTTGCACATGTGATGTTATCAGATTTTTCTCGATCAGTTATATCCATTAGATTATTGGATATATTCCTGATGTGTAAAAATCTTTTGTATAAGAAATTCAGTTTAAAATTTGGAGAAACTTACAACATATTTTCATCAATCTCTACTGCCACTTGAGTGTTCTTCTCACAGAACTGCCAAAAATTAGTTTCTTGCATGTGCTGGACTGGATTGATATGAAAGAAAATCAAGGAAGCCAGAACTCCTTACCTTTGGTGCCTCCTGTATTTTATTTCTTTATTTAAATTGTAATATTTCTTAATTGACAAAGGAAACGCCTCAGTTACTAGATAGTTAGCAACTCTGAATAAGCAAATAGTATCTGTTGGATTGAAATTTTTTACCAAATGGATTTATTGCGTTAAGAGCATGCTCAGGAACTAGTCCCCTGAGCTGGAAAATGTTTGCCAGCTGCATATAATATGGATATCAAATTTCTTGCTGACCAGAGGATATTTATCTTCAAAGTAAGATGTTTTTTCCCCTTTGACTTCAATGGGAAATGTCTACAAGTACAGTATGTATGAGTATTTTTGTAATTTTTTGTTTTTAGTACCATGAGAGCAAACAATCTTTCATCACACCTTTTGTTAGGTCACTGTTACTTGCGCTCTATAAACAATAAGAGCTTGAAGATAAGTGGTCTGACTTGTCCTACTGTTAGCATCTATTTTCAAATTGTCTCCTTTGTCAATTTATTTTTCAAATGAATCAAATTTGTCCAAAAATCGTGAGTTTGTGCACCTTAACATTTCTGTGGTGTCTGTGTACATACATTTTAGTAAATATATATTTTTAAGGACATATCACATTAGGAAAAGGGTCAAAGAGTTACGATACATTACGATTGGCTGTTTGGTGTAGAACAGTTATGTGTGCCAAATATGGTGAGAAAGTTTGTAATGGTAAGATATTCCCTTTTTGTGGGACTGCAGAAGTGTTGGTTGATTAACAGTACAAAGGTCAGATGGACATAAATGCCTTGGAAATAAGTCCCTGGATTTTAGTTTTGAAATGTGCCTTCTTAAAAGATGGGAAAATTTTGTCCTCTAATTATTCACACAGTAATGTTGCTTTGAAAAAGGTGTTTTAACTTCCTGTAGTCACACTGATGTAGTACAAATGCTTTGTTTCCCTTTTTTTTTTGTTTGGATAACTTTTCCCAAACACTCCTGATACGAGTGGTGTTCTGTATATGCAAAGGATGACTCTGATCAGGATGACGCTTAAATATTAGTTGGTCTAACTAATGTTCTATCTAAAATTGATTTGTTTTTGAGTTACTTGCATCTTTCTGGTTATTAATTGTAATGTGTACTCTTTTTGTTCCAATTGTGCACTTCGGGTCAACATACATTTTAATTTTTAGCCCTTTATCTGTTGTTTCTTTTGTTTGTTTTTTCCAATTGTATATTTTGAATCTTTATGGAAATGTAAATTTTGATTTCAACTGTATACTTGTAAGTATGTTAGTCTATGCCTGAAATTCTTACATTTCATTTTGGATGTATATATTATTGACTCTATAGATGTTTCAGTGAGAAAGCTGTTGCTTGTACTTGTGTCCCCCTAACAGTAATTTTGTTAAGATCATGATTTGTTACATGTTTTCCATGTACCTAAGTTCATGTCTTAAAGTGCTAGAAATTTGCTTGGAACACACACTGCTTTATCAGTAGAGCTGTCAGTTTTTTTTTTTTTAAAGTGGACATGCAGCAATTAATTTTTGTTTTTGTAAACGGTTTTTCTTTTATTTCTTGTTAGGCTCTTCTGAGTTTTAATAGAACTGTGAATAATGTATATATTCATTAGCAATGTGTAACTCCCACCTCCAAGGTTCTGTGAAGGTTTCAACAAAATAACTTTTTTTTTTTAATCTGTGACTAAAGTTGAAAAGCTGGAATTGGCCTTGTGATTTTGATTGATTCTTGTCAATTCGTATAATCCTGTGATTTCCAGCCAGCTCTCCTTTTTTTCTTAAATTGTAATCACAGAACTTTGGTTTTCATGTGATAGAACTCTAGAAAGTAATGTTTGTTACACATGTGTATTCTTACATGGTATGATAAAAACATCAAGTCCAAAGGTTAATTGATTGTTTGCTGTGAATTTATTTTCTTTTTAGATGGTTCAATTTTCTGAATTGTATCTCCTTTTTAGTTTATGAATGAGTGTTTGTGGATCTCGATGGCCATATCCTCAATAATTTTATTTAATTCTGCAAGATGTATGATGTGAGTGCACAAATGAGAATTAATGCCACGTAGCTTTTAATTATGCAACTCTCTTTTGTTATTTAGTATTTGTTTAAAAAATAAATTATGCTGATTTCTTGTATAATGACCTGGTGGGATGTAGCATTTACCCATTTGTATGAAATGTGTGTAATGGTGTGGATGTACCTGAGTTTTATGTCTACTGTATTTGAATGTGGTCTATCTGGTTGTCTGCTAATTGGCCTTGTCATGCTTTCAGATGACCAATGTCAAACTCAGTGTTAATTATTTGTACCAATTATCCAAAGGTTTTTAAGTAAGAGTGATGGTTTTAAATCACAAGAAAAGGCACACATCTACCTCATGGGCTGTTTCATGGAAAATTGAGATGATTGATATTAAATCTTTTACGTTTGTCGGAAAACTATTGTTTCACATGTTGTAGATGTAAATGGAAGGTTTATTAAACAAAAATGAGCATGAGTAGAACCTACTTTAGGATTGCTACAGCATCACCAAGTGTAAAAGGTGGAAATGTTTGTATTGACTGTTCATTCGGTTTACTGTTCAGGCTCTTTATTATTTATGGTACACATTCTTGATCTGAGTTTTGTTGATTTTATAAAAATACTGTTGAGGTTGTCCAAGGGATTTCTGAAATTTAATTATCTAGCAAAGATTCAAAGTCCTCTTGGTACTTGTAATTGACATCTCATTATTTTTTTGTATGTGTGTCTGTTAAGTTTGATTTCAAGTGGCAGTTAGGTGTGTGGACCATAGTTGTTGATTTTGACAGTCTGCATTATGTTGTGTTAAGTCAGGGATGAATAACAGCTTACACCACTTAGCTCATTTAGTTTATTGTTGTTCCATGAACATGTTAAATTTATTTTGAAAAAGAAAGCTTAAGTGTTTGAAAAATTGTTAAGTACTCTTGTTAAATTTGATTTTGTTTTAAATTTGAGCTTGATTTTCAAACCTCAAAAATTTACTTGATTTAATTATTTAGCCTACTGTTGTTTAGAGTGAATATTTTAAATAATGTTTTGTCTCAACAATGTTGATAACTCCATAAATATTTTTTGTTTAGATTACATTGGATACATGTTGAGCAAGTGATAAGCTGGTCTTTCACGTATATGAGGGATAAAGAATATAGTTTATGATACTATAGCAGTTAATGTATGTCTCACAAAAGCATACATACCACAAACTGTGTGGTAACCAAATTCAGCATTTTGCCTTCTACTACATTGCTACATGATCATGATTGTATCTAAAATATCTCTCTACTGTATGCGGTGTCTAAAGCATATCTTTGTCCAAAATTCGCTATGGGAATATTGTTAGATTGGATTACTTGTAAGACCTGCCGCATACGTGATTAAAATGAAAGAAATATGCATCTAATTCGATCACACTTATTCCGAGCCGTCCAATTCCCACCTTTCGTCGAGCTGAGCATCTGAGAGGCAGACGGCCCCGGCCCTGGCCCACAGTAGTGCGGCTCGGGCTCGTATTCTCGGCACCATGAAGAGCTCCATGCTCTGCTTGCTCAGAGCAGGCACTCTGCTCCTAGCCTCTCGTCGACAAAGCTAACTAAGCTGCCACGACACCCGCGTTCACACAGCCCCAGCTTCCAGCTTTTCGCGTGAACGGCTGCGTCGTCCTGGCTGCCGATATTTCCAGGAGCAGGACTCTTCTCGGCTCGCTTCTGCCTCTGGATTCAGCATAGGTCAACCTTTCCAAGCCATAGCCAGATCTCATCGAAGCGAATACCCCCATCCACAACGCAGTCGAGATCGTGTCCATAGACCACCACTGCTTCCCGCGTCAGTGTGGCATGTGATTTCACATTATCTCGCAAAAGCATATCAACAGAGTAAAAACTGCATACGAGCACAATAACTGTGACACGCAGCAAAAACTCGAGGAGCGGGCCGTTGCGGGACTGGGGTGTGGGCCCGACCGAGACCCCGCCGCGGGCATGTTCCACCAGTCGCCCGCCCTCCGTGGTCACGATCCTAGGGCCGGGATGACCCGCTCCGAGCTGCTCCTAGCCGCGGCCACCGGCACGCTGCTGTTGGCGCTGGCCGCCGCGGTGCCCCCCACGCCAGCGCCGGGCATCGCGAGCGCGACCGCGGGGGCTGCTCTGCAGGACCAAGGTACTTACGGTGCAGCGGGGACAGCGGGCGGGGAGCGTGGTGCAAGCGAGGGGGAGAGGGGGGAGAGAGGGGGTGACCTACGTGATAAGGTGACCCCACGAACCGTGAATAACGTTCCCCGCGAGACAAGGCGGCGCGAGGTCGCGCACGGTATGAAGTCCGGCTGACGCGGAAGGGGTTGCCTACATTTTGTACCGCGAAATGCCCACCGTCCAGGCGGGCGTCTAATGCTCGGTCTAATTCCTATTATGGCTGTCTGTCGGACGCCTTTCGATCGACGGTGCCGACCATCACCTTTTCAGTGTGAGCCAGCCATGTCGGAGCTTAGAGAGACTATAAGGAGAGAGGCGACAACTGCCGGGCGCGCCGCTGCGCTGTGATTGGCCAGCTCGCTTTGGTGCCCCAGCATGCACCCGCCGGGCGCTGACTGGCGGGGCCCTCCGCGCGCCTAGGGCTCGGGGCCCGCTCGGGCCCGCTTCGGCCGACCCGAGCCCCGAGCCGCGC